GGCCGGGCCGGGCCGGGCCGGGGTTGTGGTAGGCGTTTGGGGGGCTCTGAGTGGAACGGTGCTGTGCCTCTTTGGGCAAGGGGAGATGGTTGGTTTCTGGTTACTCGTGGGCCTGCTGGGCTTGTGGGATTTTTCACAAAAATTGTATTAATTCTCTTTCACGTGTTCAGGAAAGAGTCTTCCAAAGAACATTTCTGATGGGCCCTCGTAAGCTGTCTGCTGTGAATATCCAACTTGTTAAGATGCTCAAAAAAAAAAAAGGTCATACAGAAATCCTGCTAGGCCTGTTTGCTACTGCAGAAGGCTTCCTTTCTGGTGGGCAGGTCGCCAGTCAGAGTAACTGCTGAGAAGCAGTATGGTCTTTGCAAGGGGGAAGTCTTGGGGTGCAGGAGGTGCTCCTGCAGCAATAGTCTCTCCTGGAAGCAGTTTGTTTTTCAGCTATTAAAACTAATCTTTCTCCACTTTTCTTGATGTTAGTCAGATAGAACACTATTCATCCAGAAGGTTGGGCTGGATAACTTGTTGAGATCTTTTCTAGCCTCTTCCTTCAACTTAAAGGAGGAAATGGAGCTGTTACAACACTACTTGATTTCACCCCTGCCGAAACTCCACTCTTCCTCTTGTATTCTCTTCTGGTTTGCTTGCTTTGGGAGTATGTGGTTTCTTAGACATCCTCCTCGTGGAAACTGGGGGGGGGCAAAATGTAGTGTTTTGCTGTCACCACAAGTCATCTTGTTTTCATTGACAGGAGAACGCTTTAAAAAATACAGGTGTGCTACATTCTAGAAGCTAGCTGGCCTCTTAAATAGTTTTTCCTCTTTTTAGAAAGTGTGTGTGTATCATTTGCAATCAGGGTATGGAGGAAAACTTGCTTTTTTTAATCTTCCGATGCAAATATCATTACTGCATTGCTTTATGTAGAAATTTAGTATCTAGTATAAATACGGTTTAAACAAGCATTCCTAATCTGGATAAGATGAAACATATCATCCGTGTCAGTACTCTCAGTTCATTCACCTGCAGGAATTTTCATTGTTACTTTTGAATACAGTTTTCAAGTCTGTCTTTTTAAAGTTGAGAAGGTAGGAAAACCAGCGAATCAAACCAGAACTTTTCTTCTGGCTTTAGCTCAACTGTTCTAATTCAGACAGTAACCACTTAACAATTGGTTTCTAGACCTGAATGGGTTCAGACTCGCTATGTTGGAAAATTGTTACTTGAATATGGTAGAAGTTAAATAAATAATTCCCCCCCCCCCCCCCGGTAATGCAAAGACCAATTAAAGTGGGGAGTGATACTGGATAATATTTTAAATAGCCTAACTTTTTTCCTGTTCCATACTGGAATTGGATAATAATCTCTATAGTTTTAACTCTTGAAGTCATGATAGTTTCCTTTGAATCTTTTTTTGTTAGAACAATTCTTCCCTTGTCTGGGAAACTCTCTTAGAGAAAACAGAATTTCAGTACCATTATTATTGTGTTGATTCTTGTTTCTGCTATTCTTTTTCTCTAAATGAAGCAGGAGTTCCTTCAGATAATGAAATCGCCCAGTTGACAAAGGAGATGAGGGTGGGAAGGAGAAGAATTCAGATACAGATATTATGAATTAAGATACTATGACTGATGGTTTACTTATAGGGGGAGATTTGTCAGCCCAGCACCACCTTAGCAGTTTTTGGTGCTGCTACAGCAGCTAAACTGCGTGGGAAGATGCAAAACTATTAATTTAACTAAAGTAGATATTAAAAAACAATTATGCAGGTTTATGTAGCTATAGATAAAAGGAACTCCTGTGCAGCCAGCAGACTGTAAAGGGTACAGTGATGTTAATTAACCCCCCCTTCAATTAAATTAACTGGTAGAAAATAACTTTCATTTCCATCATGTGTCCCCATCTCCTTTTTCCAAGCGTACAGGCAGATATACAGAAAAAACTTTTTGAGAAGAAGCTAGGGTAGCTTGACTGGAAGGAGAAATGAGAGAGATGTCTGATTCTGTCTTTATGCAAATTTTATCTGGCATATTCTATAACCTAAGAAAACTTCTGTGTTAGGTCTTTCTTCTTTTTCCTGTCCAGATACTATAAAATAGTATATCCTCTTGTCAAATGCAACTAACGAGTGGTAGACAGACTGCTCTTCTCGCTTAACATTTGTATGTGAAACTGAATGCTCTGTATTGATTTCTGCTGCTTTTTTAAAGTGTGATGCTTCAAAATGTTAAAGGAAACTAAAAAGTTTATTGGTAAATCCCTTCAGCCAGCACGACCTGTGCATCATCTGTCTTCTAAACAAGGTGAGTAGCATGGCTAAGATACAGTTCACTTTGCCAAAGCTTCAGTTTCTTCTAACGAAGTAACGAGGACGTGTAAGGTGACTTGGATTTTTTTTTTTTGTTTAAATGACTTTGTTCAAACTATAGTGATGTATAATGTCTTGCTGTGTATTGATCTTACTACATCATCTCTGTGATAAAATCTGAATTTAAACTCTCTTTGGTGGTGTTCTTTTTTGGCATCTGAAATTCTGGCTTCAGAAAGCTGGATCAGGCTTCTCTATTAAATTTGGGTATCTTGGGTTAGTTGACTCCTGCTATTGAAAACATAAAATACACATAATTTAACAAACAGATTATTGTTTAGGTTTCATTGCAAGTACAATATACTGCACCGTACCATTCTTATCTAACCTTCATACAAGTTTAAAACAAACCTAAGGAAAAAATCATGCAGTATTTATGTCAGGTGTGTATATTTTGTTTTTGTTTTTAAATGTCTGTATGCCTTCTAGATACTGCAGTATTTTAGTTAAAATTATTACTAAGTTAGAAATTTTTGGTGGCCAGAGAAACAGTGACAGCTGTGCTGATGTGGACAGAAGCTAAATGATATGATAAATCTTTACTGTGTTTAAAATTCATGGAAGAAATGGAAGAATGGTCCTAACGTGATTTAGAGCTTTTAAGTTGTGAATAAATGCCCATATAATCTCTTTGCAGTTGGATTTCAGTAATGTGCTTGTGGCAGGTATCACAAAATAAAAATGTGGAGTCTATTTAAAATGTTTTTTCTTAATGTTTTCTCTTATCTTCACCGGCATCAGCCATTGCGTTAAACTTTCAGACTGAATTACCTAGCAACACTGAAGTATGTTTGCAGAGTAAGGTTGACTGGGTGAGTATTGAGTAAATAGTAGATGACAAAGTTGATGGACTGTGTTCTAGAGTGCTCTAAGTTGGAGGTCAGCTGATCCCTTATGTTACCAAATGAAAAGTAAACTATTTCCACCTAGGAGTGTACTTGAATCTATATGTTATAAACCAGCAGTGTCAGAAGTACTAAAAAGAAGTATGAGTTTCAGGAATGCCTTTCCCTGATATTTTTATGCACTAGTAGCTGAAAAATACTTCTTATGAGTTACTTATTTAAGAGTCTCACGAAAGTCCATGTGGCATTTCTTTAGTCTTCATTGAATTAAGACAGCTATTTTAAACTTAAAGTACACATATTCATTCTTTGCTTATTATGTGTAAAGAATAACATTAGAAATAACTTTTTTTTTTCAGTTTTGTTAGCACATGCACAAATTCATTTGAGGAGCAAACTTCACAAAACTAGATAATTAAACAGTTCCAGTGCATTCTGTAGTTCTGTTTCATTGACTCTGCTGGATCGGGCAATAAATGGGCCTTAGCATTCAAAAAACCAGAAGCACTCTAGTGCTTTATTGCCAGAAATACTTGGCTTTAGACATGGTACAGTGTGTCCTTCAAACTTGAAATTGGTTGTAGCTGTTTGCTGCAAAATGAAATTTGTAGTGTTCCAACTAGAATGCTTAATGTTTCATGGTCTGAATTTGATTTTCTGTTGATACTGTTTGAATGTTCTTCTGAGCGTATTGAAAGTTTTAATTTTTTTTTTTTTTTTCTCGTTAGACCTGTTCCTTCATTCTTTACTTTAGAAGAGGTCTAACAATCCTGTAGTCCTTCCTTTATTGTATGAAGCTTCTGGAAGCTGCCTTTGACTTCAAACAAACAAACAAAAAAGTCAAGGTGTTGGCAGCCTATCCTTGATCACACATAGGGAAATCAACAGTTATGCTTGTCTCCTGAGCAGTTATGTATTTAGGAGAGCAGACTGTTCCCTTTTAGAGCAGGCCTGTGGTCAGCAATGTTGTAGTACTCAGTTTCATCAATATTTGGCTACATGTAGCTACATACTGCATTTCTTTGATGTTAGTATAGCTGTATTTTTTTTAAGCTGTTTCTTTGGCATAGAATATTGAAAAGGCTTTTTAATACTTTTGACTGTCAGCTGTTTCATGGGTACCTCCAAATACCAGCTGATTAGTACCCTATGAACCCCTAGTTGGACAGCATTGGCGTGGAGGCTGGCATAGCAGCTTCACAGAATATTTTTTTAAGCAGGAACATTCAGTATCTAGTTCTGAAGATATCTGGACCTGAATATGATTATACAGAGTTGTGTATTATCACTCTTTAATGAATCTTGCTGAACATTCTCTGTTTCAGAAGGCATCAGTGATGATCTGAGAAAGCTGTATGTTGTTATCCATTTGCTCTTTGGCTCCTGATATGGTGAAATAATGTCCCCACTCCTAGAATAATATATATATTTTTTTCACTTCACGAAAATTGTTCTTTAAATTGTTGTTGTATTTCAGGTACTTTAAATCTTACTGCCTTTTCGGCAAGACAGTAATAGTGCTCTGTATCTACAATCATAAAACTTTAATTATCCTCATCCCCTTTCCTTCCTCCTCCAATATATTTCCTTTTACAGAAGATAAATGAGCACAACACTAAACACACTGTAAGGTGAAAAACAACTGTTGACGTAACATTTAGTATTGCTAAAGGAAAACCAACTTGTTACAACTTTTTATACCATTCATAGTCTGAGGTAGTGATGATCTATTAAAGAGAGAATAGATATTCAAGTTGACGGGGTTAGGATACAGGAAATGCAGGTTACTTTTTGGAAAGTGTGGTGAATGGTGAAGATTTTAAAAAGTAAAGCAGATTGTATTTGCCACTAACTTATAAATAGACCTTTTTTAAAAATAAGAGAGGCTTTAGAAACAAACAAACAAAAAAAGCCAATTCTGACAAACCAGGTTCTTAAAGCAGTGAAAGAGCTGAAGAAGAATCTGGCAACTGAATTCTCCAAATTGCTTTACTCTGGGATATTTAGTATGCACACTTAAAGCTGCTTAGACTTCTGCCAGGAAAAAATCATCGTTATGGCACATAGGAGTGCTGGTCAGTGTTAGAGTCAACTCTGAGTATAAAGGACAGTGAATTACAGAATTAAAACTACTATCTGAGGAACTTATAGTCTGAAACTTGTAGTCTTAAGCCTTAGAAGTGGAGAAGAGCTACTGTTAATAATGAGCACAGTGATAGTGCTTGTATCTAAGATGTTATCCTTGATTCTAGGGAATTTCCACCAAACTGGTGTTCAGAGTGAAAGTGCCTGAATACTCACTGTGCCCTAACTGGATAATTTAAAGCAAAGAATACTTTTTATTCCTTTATAGTATGCAAAGAGTTTTCAGAAGATCTGGAGAGTGTTGAGTCCCCTACCTCAGATCTATTTGAGGTAGAGACAGGCTTGAAAAGTTTCCATCAGTCAGTATCAGTTTTAATTTACTACTTCTTAACTACCATTTAAAAATTATGTTGAGCTTCATAAATACATGCCCTGCTCTAGTGATACGCTTTATAGATGGATTCCATTCTTTGTAGATGGATTTCAGAGAGGAACCTGTGTAAGGCTATTGTTGTGAGTGGTGATACTCAAATGTTAAGTTTTGGACTGAAAACCAAGCATAGCAGAACTCTTGATATTATAAAGCAGCTGGCAGGATGATGTGATGAGAGGTGATGCAGGAAGCAATGTAAAAATATTGTGGTGACATTGTCTGGCACATTGCTGTAAATTCTGCTTTATCATGCATGTTTTTCTTGGGAATTTGAGAATGTGTTAAATCCTTGTTTGTACTTGGAAAGAGCCTTTGAATAGCTAAGACTTGTAAAGACTAGTTGAGCACCACAAAGCAGTTAGAATCAGCAGTATGGCTTTCTATTAACCTCATTCTCTGAAATCCCTAGATTTTTCAGATTTTTTTCCCCGTAAGTTTTAGACAAATCATGAAAAGATAACTAAATTTCAACCACAGAAAATGGAAGTGCGAGCAGGGTGGATAATACACTAGAAATGTTTTGCCATTTCACAACTTGTAGTCAGCGCACTATGAAAGCTGGTGGTGCAGTTACAGTGCAAAGTGTTAACTGCTGTTTCTGTCCAGAAAATAGGATCTCTTCTGCTTTTGACAAATGCTTCCCAAAATTTTCAGGTCTTCCTGCCTCCTCCCCCCCCATCTGTCTCAGAATGAGATTAAAATTCCTCAGCCAAACCGGTGGAGCTTTTTGGGAGCCAAGACAAACTGTTGAGGATAAACTGCTTTCCTACTTTCCAAAACACTCACTTCAAGGTTTTGGCAGCTGGAAGGAACTCGGTGTTGTACTGTAGATGTTAAGTCTTGATGCTTAGGAAACCTTTAGCTAAGTGAGAGAATCCCAAGTGTCTCTTTTCGTCTTAAGGAAAGTCCTTCCTGCTTTTACTATTCCCCAGTGTAGCAGCTTCTGCCTGTGTTCTGGGCGAGATAAGAGAAAAGGAGGAGGTAACTGTGTTCTTCTTTAAAAACTAGCAATAACACTGTAAAATTCTGTCTAAAAGATTGCTGCCTCAAATGTGCTTACCTATACTGCTTTGTAGGTTGTTGAACTATTCCTTTATTGTATGTAATCAAGAGTAATAAACAGTCTATAGGTTCAAATTAAACTTCTCAGGTGTTTTACATTACCAGTATTCCTATTTACAGTTTTCTGCAGTTATTTTGCAGGACTTTCATCTTTCAAGTTAGAGGTGCATCAACTGTTATAAATAGCTGCAGTTCTGACTACAGTTTAATTTGTACGAGAGTGTTTTTTTTTCCGAACTGTTTTTTCTTGTGTTGTTGAACTATTCCTTTATTGTATGTAATCAAGAGTAATAAACAGTCTATAGGTTCAAATTAAACTTCTCAGGTGTTTTACATTACCAGTATTCCGATTTACAGTTTTCTGCAGTTATTTTGCAGGACTTTCATCTTTCAAGTTAGAGGTGCATCAACTGTTATAAATAGCTGCAGTTCTGACTACAGTTTAATTTGTACGAGAGTTTTTTTTTTTCCGACTGTTCTTATACTGTAAAGAAGACGGTGATTCATTTGCAAGGAGTAGAAAAGATTAACAGAACCCACTTTTCTTCATGCACAGAAAGTATTAATTGTCCAAAATTTTGGTGACTGGTGAAAGCAAAATTGATTACTGAAACTGTGCTACAACTGTTATTACTGTTATTTTTAACTAAGAAACCCAGGAACATGCATCCTTGTTTTAATATGTTTAAAGGAGACAAGCGTCATAACTTAATTTTGTGAAGTATATTAAAAAATGTTTAACTCTTTCCTCCCTATTTTAGTTATCTGAAATGACTGAAGTGAAGATCTTAACTCAAACTGTGATGCCTTGTCAACCAAAACAGCATGAATCAGAAGCAAAAAAAGGTAAAATATTGCATGGAGATCTGTGTCAGAATTGTATTTTCTGGATGGAAGACAGTTGAACTTTGAGGAGATGTGGGCTGCATATTATTTTTTCTGATTAGCCAGTGCTTTGAGAGTTTGGCTTCCTTCTGTACCACAATTTGAGAGCAATATGAAACCTTTCTGTTTTTCACATAACACTGTAGAGAAAGTGTAAAACTTGGCCATACCTGAGGTGGGAAACCTCTGCTGGTAGACTTGCTTGCATATGAGGGTGTACCTGTCTCTCTTAAAAAACAAAAAAACCTCACAAACCAACAAAACAAAACAAAGAAAAAACAAACCCCGAGCATAAAACAACTTCTTCACACAAAATCCTGTTTTTGTGTAAATTGCTTCTGTGTGTAAAAGTACAGGTTTGAGTTGCGTCCCTTAGGCTGTTGCAGGGGTCAGTCATGGCATACAATCTTTAAGACTATTGCATGTAACCAATTTAAGAATTCTGTAGTTTGGCTTCCTTTTCCTACTCTTACTACAGTGCTTTTGAAATACTAATTTTCTGATGGTTAGAAATCACACAAGTCTGTTCTTGTGTCAACACTGTCCTTAAGGTTTGCTCCTTATGCTTTTCTTTCTGTACTGCCTGTTACTCAGTACTCATAAAGCATGATAGTGTTTTTGTCATGGTTTGGTAGGTTAAACAAGCTAAACTTTTACTCTTTTTTTTTGTTAAGGGATAATCTCAGATCCCAAACGTATTCTCACAGTCCTTTCTTCTGCACTGCTTCCTGCCTAATTCTTCATTCTTAAACATGTTACAGGAACTGCGACAGTGATCCACGTTAGGTCATCAGTTCATTGAGACAACTTTTTCTGTTAATGTCTTCCTGTAATCAGGCATCTCAAATCTCCATCTGTAATCTCCAATCCTTAAGTAATCTCGGGAGACTTGGTTTGTTCTTTTGCTTTTAGTATTCAACAATTGAAAGAATTCTGTTAAGTTTTATTGAGCCTTTCCTATTTTTCCTCAGTCTGAGGTTACCATTACCCAGGTTCTTGAGCAGTAATCCTACATTGTTGTGTGTTACTGACTTGAAAGTAAGTCTTCCATGTATCCCCTTTCAGGCTCAGGTTTGTTTCTTTTATTCTTGATCTTGGTAAATAGAATAATGTTCTGTTCTTTGGATCTAGTCTGGTGTCAGGCTTGTCAAGTTCTATTTGTTTGGTGGTAGCTTGCTGATCCTTTCTCATTGATTCTGCTTGTGGTGTGTAGAGACTATTGTGTTCTACAAGATCTTAAATGACTTCTCATCAGATCCTGGTCTCTTCAATAAGCCATGACTTTGGATCTTTTTTGGTGGTTAATTGCTCTGTGATACCTTCCTGGGTCTATTCTACATTTGTCCAGAATGTCAAACTTTTTCCAACACTTGTTTTCAGAGGGCTTTTGTTTGTTTGCTGAGTGTTGTAATCCTTTCCTTCAGAGTAATAAAACTTCAGAGGTCCTGTTGTTCAGTTACTGCCTACAAATAGGTCTTTTTTTTTTTTTCTTCTTCTTCCCTTCCTCTCTTCCATTGCACTGTGAAATTTCCACTGGAACTCCATTTTTATCTCCAGCTGTACCTTAAGTTCTAGATAATAATTTCTATTTGATATCTGCTCAGTGGTAGTATGCCTCCAGTTACCTGTCTCTACAGTTCTTAAGTGCTTTTTACTGTGATGTCAGTCTCTTCCTTGCTTTCTCTTGGAATCATAGAATGGTTTGGGTTGGAAGGGACCTTTAAAGGTCATCTAGTCCAATCCCCCCTGCAATGAGCAAGGACATCTTCAACTAGATGAGGTTGCCCGGAGCCCCGTCCAACCTGACCTTGAATGTTTCCAGGGATGAGGCATCTACAACCTCTCTGGGCAACCTGTGTTTCACCACCCTCGTTACAAAAAAATTTCTTCCTTATATCTAATCTATATCTACCCTCTCTTAGTTTAAAACCATTCCCCCTTGTCCTGTCGCAACAGGCCCTGCTAAAAAGT